AGCGTCATTCTCCTCTCCCTGTCTCCGTGTGCAACGCAAAACTGTCCCTGAAGATGAGCCACGTGGTGCCTCGACTCATGAAGATCTTCGACTTGGCTCTCCTGATCCATAATTCTTTGATCGGCCAACCTAAGTTGATTCGACGAAAAAAAAAACCCACTAAATACGTAGAATCTCACTAAATTGCTGAATATGTGTAGCAGTGACGGATTCATTACACTGACAAACATGACATTTTAATGTTGTGTTGCAGACAATCGCTTGAAAAATATCCAGCGCTGCATAATCTGTTAAGTCGGGGCCGTACGGAGAGCTTCATGACAATCGGAAACAATGACAGTGGGTCCACACATTCGTGTCGCCTTGAAAGTCACTCAAGAGGTGTGCCATTGTTATACAAACATCCACTAACCAAATGTTTTACATTAAACGGCATAAATATCAAAACATACAAATAATTAAATATATTCTTGAACTACTTTGCGTCTGTTTACCTCTTTTTATCTCCGAATGGCCTTCGGCTCCTCTCGCTTCTTCTTACACTCAAAATCCCTTCCATCAGCTCCCTTTATCTCTTCAGGTCTTTGACGTAATTCTGCTGTTTGTTTCTTGTAGAATTCTACCTTTGGTTTCTATGTACCATTTTCCTTCAGCTCTTAAGGAAACAAATTTCCAATGTGAAAGAAAAGCTTCAGCCAGAACGCAGAGTACAAAGAGGCGCAGCTTTGCGCTTCAGCACAGTTATCAATTTACGGAATAAGGATAATTAAATTTAAAACACTGTCCTGAGGACCTAAGGACGATTAAGTGGCAGGAGGATGTGGATACCTGAGATTGTTTGAAATTTTACTGCATCAGTAACAACATTTCACCTGTCCACAACTTCGCGTGTGTTTCATGAAATTTCCGAGCTAGGACCTCAGTCATTCGCGTCCTAAATTAAAAAAAGCTGCGTACGAAGGTGATGCACGCATTACCACGTAAACTTAATTTATTCATCACTGTTAATGAAGACAACGAAAACTTTTTGTTTCGGACTTACGTGGCTGCAACCTCACGTTACTCTTTCTGCGACGATGTAGTGCGTCACAGTTCCATGTCAAATACGATTGGAAAAAAGAATCAATGCGCGCACAGTATTCATGCTTTGGCATAAAACTTAAATGGCGACAGTTATTGTATCACACATAACCTCAAACCCTTTTAAGCCGGGGAATTTTTATTTTCAATTACACAGTTGAGCCACCAACAAACAGCCTCTGAAGAAGGACGCTGATGCATGTAGCAGGAAACAGAAAATCCTCCTAGCGATGCGGGCAGCTGCAGACAAAGCGACTTCAAGGATGGCGAACACCTGCTGCTGTAGCTGTTCACACCGTGAACGGTCACCTTGGGCAAAACCCCGACTGCCGCCCGTTTTCCTGGTGGCTTTGTGTGAAAATGAATTCCCTCCTAACCTGAAAAATGGCGCTCATAAGAACGTAAACCCCGATAACTGACAGCCTTGTGCGCAGACACGTACTGACAACGCGTGATGCAACACTTCACACATTCGCCTTTCACGTCGGGTTACGTCTGTGTAAGCAACACCAATCGTCCTGCAGAAATGAACACGGCTGACTCTGCCACCGTGAGAACTACAAATCTCACCAATGGAGCACTGTTAATAAACAATCGCCAACCAAGAAAATTCGTATTGCTTAGACGCGTGAGTTACGATACCTTAACCTACAATTGCCACGCATCTTTCCAAAACATCGTGAGCAAAAAATCAATTTTCAAACTCTTATCAGCGGCTATAATAACAATTACAATGACCCTGCTGATAATAGAAGAATAATGGATTACGTGTAATAACATCAGAACCCGAAGTAATGTCAGTTGACCCTACCATTACCCAACATGCCAGACTGATTCACTTCTCTTTAATCACAGGTCTATGAAATAATAAATTATCACACAGCGACAAACAAATACAAAAATATACGAAAATATCACTCATCAGACATAATATTCTGTTCAGTGTAACCCTTCTTGAGAAGCTGACAGTCACTCAGCTGATACGGATGTTCCTTGCATTTCACGGAACACAAAGGTTGTTCACTAGGGCACACCAATAACACTTTCATAACCCAGTTGAATCCACTCAATATCCTCTGACCTTATTTCTTTAAATTTTAGTGCTGATGTGATGCAGTAGCATATTGCTATAGCATCAACGTCGATGTTAAAGCAGCCCTGTATACTGGGTTTCAAATCCTATAAGACAAGATTAAGATCTGCTCTTATGTTATCCTCCCATTTATGCCTCAATTTCCCATGTGGTGTCTGGCACTAATCTGCTAAGACGATTAACCTGCTGACGCAATACGAGTCTACGGACATGACCAATCCCAGAGCAGCTGTAAGGCAGTGGTCAACAGGAATCTACCAAAGGTAAGTAACCATCAAATAAATGTAGCGCACAAAACAAACTTTAACCACGACCTGTGCAAAGCAGAAAGCTCCACATTAGTAGAAATTACAACATCCGAGAACCACAGGAATTAAGCGTAAAAATGAAGAAAATAAATAGGAACAGTGGATAAGGATTCACAACAGCAGAATAAGATAATGCAAAAAATAAAATGCAGGTGCTTGATAATGATTCAGCTAATAATTCTCAATTTTTATTTGAAAAGGAAAATGTTACATGCTTGTTTTCAGGTAAATGTGTCTTAGATGAAGATACATTAGTTCACACTCCTCTACCTTCACTGCTGTGAGGACATGCCTGCGGGCCTTTTAACAAAAATGCTTCGTGAAAGCTCTAAAGCCAAATCACGATAAAAATACAATTCAGTCTTTCATGTGGCAGCAGTTGATAAAGTGTCATAACTGTGATCCATAGAATTAATTTCAACAGAAATACAAAATGTGCCTCTTACGTCTCCACGCGTGCCACGTTTGGCCAAATGTAAAGCATCGAAGTTTCCAACCGCTTCATATAAGCGAAAACAGATTTGAAGGACAAAGCCATAAAGCCACTTTATTGAGTGTCAATTCTTACAGGCACTTACTGGCATTTAGTTGTAACATAAACTACCAATTTGGCACTTGCTCTGCCCCATCTGACAGATCACTACGCCATTGCTATTTAAACTTTTACAACTTTCTCCATCTGCCTCTCAACAGCCCTGTGCTTGATTTTACTCCACAGAGAAGCGAAACTGAGTCTGTCCCAGAGCCGCCTCCACTGGCGAGCCGCCCAGCCGCCATTGCCGTCGGCCCACATGCCCAGTCCCCCCTTTTCAGCCTGATTTTCAGCCGCAAGGAGTCTCTTGTAGTACTTCATATACTCGGGGTCCTTCTCCAGCTGGAAGTCGAGTGCCGACACGGAAGCAAACCCCAGGGACACCAGATCCACACCCACATTTCCACATTTCTGCAAAGGGGAAAGACTGTTATGAATTGACTCAAAGGAAGAGGAGGTCAAACGATTATGAGATTTGTACATTTTGATAAATCATTGCACAAAAATGTGATAAACACAAGAATCTTTTGCTGTTTGAAATTTTAATCTTATAATTTCTGCAACAATATGATGGAAATACAGGATAATTACAAACCATACTTGACTGAAAGCCCTTAGACCAGTTTTACTGAAGGCATGAATGTACAACATACCCCAAACCACATCACACAGAAAAACTTCACATGCTCAACATGTGCCCCTTTTACAACACGGCAGACGTCCCATTGGTAGTCCACACATGCCGTCATCTGCATTTGGTGATAAAATTATTATAAACTTGCCTGTAAATCTTTGAAGTTTCATTCGCATAAGGTACAGGAATTGGCGAAGTGTGTGAAGCCACGCAGTGTACTAACCGTGTTTGCACCGACGATGCAGGAGACAGACTCGGGATTCACTTTGAGGAGAGTGAACCTGATGTTAGTCCCTACCACAACATGCTGCAGCCATGACGAACCGTTGTTGAGAATGTCCACACTAGATATGTGTACAGGAAGGCACTTTGTGGAAGACTGTCTCAACTGCCAGGCCACAACTGGGTGGTGATCGACCAGAAGCCGCAGAGGTGATGATCCAACGGATGTCTCCACACACACCACCTTACCACTCAGTGTCACGTGTTTCTCCAAGAAACTAGTAGGGATCTCTCGTGGAGATGTAAACTTTTTCAACTGCGACACAAACAAAGATTTTTCAAATGTTGTACATACTTGATCAACATTTTTTATTTTCAAAAAACAAAACATAAAAATTATACCATTCATTATGCCATATTTGAGGTTCTCACAGCAGTGAATATGCTGATGTTGGTCTTCCAGTTACACACCTATGAACAAATGAGGTATATCTCCATGTTCAGGAGGCAGTGTGTTCATCCGAAATTTCGGTATCTATCTGCAAGTCCGCAGTGTTACCATACAGAATACCAACACTGGTATCTACACTACCATACGAACCTCAAATCAAACGATACGACGCATTTTATGTTCTGTCGCATGGCAAAACGACGACGTGATTTACACGATAAATTATATTATACATGCGTTAAATCACGAATACTATGCAATCTCAAAAATCTAACCTGACGTATTGGAAAGCGAATGTCGTGTTGAACCTCACTTTATATCAAACCATAGTCTGACTCGTGTTAAAGTGCAGCCTAGAAATTTTAAAAACTTACCGGTCGCACACTTCGTAGAGCCACGGCCAACCCCACAATAGCCACAGAATAGATGCCATACTAGAAATCAGATGAACATCAGTATTATTGCAACTAAAGTTATGAGGAAAAACCATAGTCGAAACTTCATTATTTATACCACATGAACTCATCCGTCTCTCACTATGTTGGGTTAGATTCGTATAACACCTGACGTCTCTTTTATTACCCACCTGAACTCCCCTGATATTTCTTTCCATGCACACAGAAAATTTCTCAAACCAGTGACGTTCGTCATCCATTTCGCAGGAATAAAGATTATCTTCAAAATAAATTACCTTCCTGAGCTAATTTTGTATCGTAAACATTTGCATTTTATTTTCGGATCTTTCGACAATTTTATACCATAGAGTACCAACACACCGTCGCTGAAACAAGATTAACACATACTGAATCACAGAACAGTAACCTACTCATTCCTGTGATGATGATTGCGTAATAAGAACATTCTTCCATCTACACTTAGGATCCTATCCCCGACGGGGGCAGAGGATTTTGCTCTAGTTTCTGTGTCCAGACCGGTTCTGGGGCCCACACATTCTCCTATCTAATGGATATCGGTGTCCTTTCCCGGGGGCAAAGTGCGGCCGGGGCGTGACGCTGACAACTCTCGCCAATTTAGTGTCGAGGTTATTGATGAGTGGGAGTTATAATTCTCACCTTCTAAGCGCCTACAAGACGTATGCCGAAACAGTTTTACTTTTTCAAAGCACAATAAACCAAGCTCTGACGTAAGAACGATAAAGGGTAAACTTACAGCGATTTTCAAATGTTCACACTGTCTTCAAAATCATAAATTGTAATTTGCATTTTAACATGCATAGCACACATTTGGGTGGGAAGGTTACACATATTTTTATTTCTAAAAATACGAAGTCAAGTAAGAAAGAGCAGGGTGCATAATGTACAATGTAAATATAAGGTTGAGGTTTCTGTTACCTGCTGAAATTTCAATGACAGGCTTAAGACCATGTCACTCAGCTGTGTGCCCATCAAATTATTCAGGAAGACAGAACAAAACAGAATTTATTTACATACCATAGAACCTTCTTAGGCCTAAGTAAAGGATACAGAGAAAGTCATAGGATAAATCCTTTGCCACGGACGTAGTTTGCACATTTAAAGGAATTTTCTCCCTTTCAGTAAAACGTTCTGATGGTACTCTGGAGATCCTGCATCGTAGTTTCCATTCAGATGGCAGCAGCTGTATTGATGGGGGATATGAGGAGTGACAGAATGGATTCAGGTCATGTGGTTATGCCTTCCAGGAAAAGGTCATGACATCAAAACAAAAGAATTAAATAAAGAAACTTTCTAAAGAGTAAGAAATTGTAATGTTTTATTTTAAATATGACACAGTATACCATTGAAGTCTTTTCCAATGTTTGCCGCCACCAAATAGCGATCAGCAACCCAGGCCGCCCTCGTACCTTAGTGTCGCAACTTCGATCGTAATCAAGGCTGACGCTTGAATCGCAGTGGGGTGGCCATGACAGACAAGTCGGGGTCTGGCAGATGGGAGCACAACTGACACAGGATCTACAACAGACGCGTCAAGAACAGAGCATCAGGTAAACTGACTCATCGGATCTTGCGCGCAAGCAGTTGAATGGTTTAAAATGTTCACATATTTAGTGGTACAGTTGAAATTAATTATATTATGTTTCTGATGAATGTGTTCTGTGACGTACACAAATGTCAAGAGATTAAATAAAAATTGTGAAAAAATGTGTGTCAAACTGGCAATCTGATGTTTTCACTCCGTTCTCATACACAATCTTACCACAAATGGTTCACTAGGGCTTCCGGGTATTACTCATAAAACCTACGATTACTTTCCTACAGCACAGACTTCATTTTTAATCAATCAGTCATTAAATGAGTTTCATTCAGTACACACACGACAGTTTGTGGAACGCTGGGACACTGACAAGACTACCACTCCTACAAATATTTTGATATTAATGTGATGGGACTCATGCACAAATTGTCGTATGATTGAACTTGTTTGAGCTAATATTTTATTGCTTGCCGCTTTCCATTGTGTCCTAGCACGTATGAAGCTGAGAAACTGTGCATAAGCCTCACACGACACACAGCTGATTGCAAGCAAAAAAACTGAGGTTTTGCCGAGCGGAATAGCTCTGTCGGTAACAGGTTCATATCTGCAACAGATCAACAGAGCTGTGCAGCAATAAAGGAGCATCTGTACTCCGTAAATTGTGACTGTGGTACAGAGGAAACAGATGAAGATCGTGTCAGCAGCATCGCATTTGTCCACGTTCTACTTTCTTACATTTTTGAAACTGGGTGAGGCCCGCAGCGAGGAGCAAGTTTTGGACGTGCCTTGTGGCGCATCAGCTCGCGTTCCATTGGTATAATGAAGCACACTCTTCAATGTGAGGGCACCATTCACCAAAACCATGGTCACGCGCTCAGGGTTCAAGCGGTGCTCATAGCGTGAGAACAGCGCACCATTGGCGCAAACCTGCAATTGAGAAGCAGAAAGAAAATTACTCAGAACACTGCAAAATGACGGGATGAATGAAGCATAATGAACTGATAAGGATATGGAAGGAACTGATCACAGCCTAATTTGAGGTATTATCCTGCCCCTTGCATTTGTACAGAGGAAAACCATGAAAAATCTCACTGTATAGTCGATCTCTGGAGGAAAAAATTTCAAATAAGGGTCTCTGAGACTAAAAGGAGTGCTAACCACTTAGCTGTGACACTTGGTGGATGTTATTAACTGACCTGACCTCTGAGGTCACAGTGTGTGCTGATCGTTCAGCCATCTTGTTCTACTGGATGACATTTCAAGACTCATTCTGGAAATCTCACCTTGATGTGCCTGTGCTCAGAGTGGAAGTCAATGGTGAAGGCAGCCCCTCTCTGCAGTGGTACTGAGTCGTTGCTGAAATCCCAGCCCCAGGCGCCATTGAAGAACGTGTTGTGTAAAACTGCGCCATCCTTAAGACGTGCATTAAACTGTAGCACTATCACCTCCTCGTTGTCTTGATCGGACTGCAGATTGATGATAATCCTGAAATGTGATCGCATGGACAACAGAGAACAACGCTTTATCGATTACAGATATGCCAGACACGGCTCTTTTTCCTTTCCTCATCGTTAGAAAATGAGAGAGCGATCAGCTTCATGCTGCGGTTGACTTTGCCCCTGGTGACTGAGGCTGGATAGGAAGTTGAGCGACCACAACGGCCACAGGACTTCCTGGGAATTCAACCCCATCTGTTGGATCCGTAAACTGTAACATTCTTGGCAACCATAATGACAGCAAAACAATGTTTACTCTGACTTTTAATTAAGTGACAGTATCAAACCCTGAAAATGGGACTGTACCAGATCATGTACGTTAACAACGCAGATCACAGTGAGATGGCTGATACCCGGCTTGCAGAGCCGTGCACGTAATGTGATCATTCACCTGCTACATGCGTTGTAAACAATGCTGTAATTTCTGCTCACCAGTCAGCGTTGCTGTGCAGGGTGCCAGCCACCGAGATGACGGAGCCCGTGGAGAACGGGTATCGTAACTGTGACAGGTATGGCACGGCACCTGAAACTGGCAGTTGTTGTGCGCGGAGGTCTGCTCGTGGCCGGCAGACTTGCTGAAATGCACGCGGAGACAACACACTCATATCAGTTCTAAGATCAATGTTCGGTACACTTAGCAAATCAAAAACAGATCTTCAACATTTCGCCAGCCAACTCGTTCTTATTCGCTGTGGTCACTGATGTAATGTTTAACTACTCACCTGTGCTCCCACATGGTAAATGAGCTTGTAAAGAGAAACATCACCAAAGACACGCACGTGTGACACCTGGGAGGGGTCGACACGATGAAAGAACATCCAGAAAAGGGCCCCATTCACATTAACCTGCAAAGACATGGAAACAGCTTAATTTTCCTTAAATCACAACAAAGTCTTCGGAGAGTTACATCCCTTAACTGTAATAAGTTAGAGATATACATTGTTTTCAACGAGTTGTCTTGAGTAACAAATTCCAGAAATCTGATTAATATAATGAATAACAGATGCTGGAAGTACACCATTATATTTTTCCCACCACACCTCTGCCCCATAGTAACCTTCAGGACTGGAAGAACCAATACCTTGAAGCCCTGGTTGTCTGACTGGAGACTGACGTTAAACTCGGCATCTGCTTGTAGTGGGAACCAGTAAGGGATCTCCTGTTGCCCCCAGGCATGTTTAAGGAAAGAATTATGGTAGACCTGCTCCACATCAAATCGAGCATGGAAACTAAATGCCATTGCTGACTGCTCCGTGAACTCCACATCATCTGGGACCAGCAGCTCGACTGAAAATCTAACAACATGCGTTTAGCCCCTGTATGTTGTCTTCCCCTAATAATTTTAAATCCAGTAAAAATTCTGTTTCTGCTACCACACCAGCGTCATTTAGTTAACTGCTCACATTGCAAGGTGTGACAGTATGGAACATTCAAAGGTCACGCTTCTCAGTCTTCCTCCCTATGACCTCTTGAACCTCTGACGTTAAGACGCATTACACATATGCCTACAGAATTCTGTGACTTCAGCAAAAAATTATCAAAGAGAAAGGAAGATCTGGGAAGAACCGGTGGTCCCCACTTCCTATACCAATCTGGTGATGTATATTTAAGTAAAATTTCTTTGGTATCCTTACGTCCAGTATTTAAGAGTTATCACACATAACCTCAAACACAATTTTTAATGCACTCAAAAAATGTCTAAAAATCTAATCTGTGAACAAACTAAGAACATCACGACGTGTCCTGAATTATATATTTTGTGGTTTTCCTCCATCCTTCGTATCACGGTACCACGCCGCCCCCAAATTCAGAGCCCACTGTTACGATGCTGAGCTGACATTGTTTCTCAGTTTCCTGCGACGAGACTAATTGTGTTCATTGAGATGAATGTCTGGAGGTGGAAAGGTGGGTTAATGGAGCGGGAAGTGGAGGCGAACAGCTGACAGGAAACGTCCGCCCAGCGAATTGGACAGCTCTGGCCGAGCGTGGCAACGACAGGGAACTGAGATCACGCACGACGGTCGTCACTTTTGCTTTTGCCATGACAATTTACACGCAGGGTCTTCGATGATCGGGGGGGCTAACGACAATATCCACGTTCACACAGGGCTGTGCAAAAACTGACCACGATATTCTGCTGATAGAGCAGCAAATTTTGCATTGCTCTAACACCCTTGATCTTAATATTGGACTTTATTGAGTTTAAACATTTTTTTTGAGTTGGGCCTTCATAGGTTGGAATTTCGAAACTGTATCTCCAAAATATCCTGGGTGTTAAATGATTAAAATCGTAACGATCATTTACGAACATCCCGTAAATAAAACGCAAACTGTAATTTGCTAAATGCCGCGAACAACCGGCTGATAACTTACTCCTGCGCGCCGGGTGGGACTGAGCCCTCCAGAGACAGCTCCGAGCCGAAGGGCAGTCCACTGCTGAGGGGTACCACTAGCGGGGCCCCGTCATCTGGCAGAAACTCCATCACCAGAGGCCTCTCGCTGCTCTGACACTGGAGCTCTGAAACATGGTTTATTGTTGTTCGTACATCGTTAATTAATATTGTCGATAATTCAGGTTATTTTAAATTCCATAAAATGGCGCTCCTTATACGACGCCATAAATTGTCAGTAGCTCAGACCAAAAGCGTTGAGTGCATAATGAAGAACATAATAATTATCCATCCAATGCAAAGATAACTTGACTTCGACCACACGCAGAACTACGCATATGCAAACAAATAAGCACCGAGCCCGCTAGAAACATTCCGGTATCCTTGGGCCCACACGGGCAAGTACAACTGTCGTGACGTGTCCTGTTCAATTATATTATTTGTGTGGACTTCAAAGCGCCGCTACAAACTCGACTCTCGACTGATGTGGGAACTTGTTAACAGAAAATTGCCTTCCGACCACTTGCAGCTGTTTCCGCTGCTTGGTTGCGGAGTCTGCAAGAACTGAGACTTTTGCTTCAAAGCAAAGTAAATCCAGTTCCTTAGCAGAACTTAATTAATCATTTGGCAAAAGCATGTTCCGTAGCAGAAACTTCTAAATATGGATTTTACATGAAAGGCTAAATCAACTCTAGATGCGGTGTCTGTCTGTCTTGCAAATAACAGAACAGAATTGCATCTTAGCAGAGACACATAATATTCATTAAACAAAATACCGATTTCCAGTGTTTTCTCAATTGTCATATTAAATTTTGACAATCTTGGGCGTCACGTTTTGTTTTTTGTCGGGGCAAGCATTACGACGATAGCCCCGGCCAACTAAATTTGTTATCACGCCAAACAAAATATTTCTTTGTCATGTTACCACATTTATATTTAAACGAATTTTAAAAGCCTTTATCTGGCGCACAAAAACCTCACGTTCGTCTTTGAAAAAATCGGTTTGGCCCAAGTACAACCTTCCTCTTTAATATTTGGCGTTCATTAGGCCTAAACTGCATGACAAAATGTCGATGCATAAACGGACTGCTCACGAAACAATTTCTCGGTTCATTGCTGCACATGAATGAGGAAAACGCTTACTTACGGCATCTGCTGGCGCGCGGCTGAAGCAAAGCAACGATGAAGACTAAAATGCGATGTGTTCTGTTCATCGTGTCGAATTCTCATGCTGTTTCGTGCGACGCTGGTTCCAGACTGAGGTTCGGTATTGTCCACTTATGGGCGTTTAGAGAGGAGGAAGGGGCCCCTTCTTACGGAATCGTATAGAACACTTTGACCTTCGCGTGGGTGTGGGTCTTCCAGAACACGTGAAGGATGGCACAGAACATCATATTGTTTCATACGATTCTGAACGGGAATTGCAAGCTTCACTGTAGGTTTTTTCGTTTCATGTATGCCAATGTGAAACGAAATTCTGAGTTACTTGTCCCTATTAGCTGCAAAATTAACGTCGAGCGGGGGGGGAAGAGGCATTTGTTGGAAAAGTTCAGTTTTGTGCCTCACAAAGAAAGTTTTTACTTCATGCAATTATTTGGGGTCCAGTATTAGACTCGTCATTATTCAACATCAAATTCTAACAGGTGCAAATAATTGGTTATTTAAGTACATTTAATGTCAAGTCATGAGGAACCTCAATGGCTTACGGGGCAGTGCTTGAAACTACGGGCTCACAAAGACGAGCAATAAGCGTCCTTCAGTTTAGCAAACATCAAAATTGGGTCAGACACATTACTGCCGAGTTAATCCTCAGTTATTAGCTCATGGCAAACAAAGCAAATGCTCTAATATATAATGTAGATGACAACCACACCATACCAACTGCCAAAGTTTGCAACATCCAATAACACTGCCACTACCAGTAAAATGTAAATAAGGACATCTTAAGGCTACCAAAGCTAGGTCTGAGGGAAATTGCTGGGATTCTTTACTCAAAAGAGGGAGATCTGAAATAAGTGTTCGGAGCAAGCAAGGCGGTCAAAAGGAAAGAGCTTTCTTTCAAGCAATTCACTGAAATTTATTTAAAAATGTGAAATACAGGAAAGCAATCGATTAAGTGAGAAACTGGGATACGAATTATGTCCATCACCTGAACTTGTTCCTGACCGCATCTTCGGTGCCTTCGATTTCAACGGAGTCATACATCCACTTCCTGTTCTGCCTACGAGTCAAATAAAAAAAGATTAACAAATGCCAGGGATCCGACAGTCTTGGGACAAAGCATTGGTCCTCTGTGCCTCAAGTCTCGCGTCTGATAACTGCAAGACGCGGTGTGAATGATTACAACACTGCAGAGACAGTATAAATGCAGAAATACTGATGGGCTGCTCAGTTACCACGCAGACGAGTTACTGACTGCTTGGCAATAAAGGATTGGTCACTAATCAAGTTTACCATTCTTATAATATTTGCTAAGTCTGCCAGATATTATTGAAAAGCCAGTGCTGCTAATACCTGCATTCATGGCCACACATGCAAGAACGACACTTTGGGCACGGGAAATGGCACCCTGGACAGGTTTCTTCCAAGCAATCGCATAGATCCTTCTCCAGCGCCATGAGCATGCCCTTAAAATCATACAGGCTCGTCTGCTTCCTCCTGTAGGACAGATGCAGAATTCTAGTACAAGTCAACACGACTCACGAATGTAGTAGTGTCTCTACGCCTTATTTTTCAATGGTTTGCATGGGAAGTGCTTCAGAAACAAATTGACAAGAATTACACTTCACTACACAGCGTCCCAAATCAAAGATGCCTGTGAAAATTTTCAGAACAAACTACATACAAAACACTCAAATTTCTTTACGCTGCAAACCTAATACATGCTCAATGGGGGCTTGTTCAAAACAGCATTAATGTTGGCAGTAAAATTTTTGTAAAATAAGTATCTTTGTAACTAAGAGGCCAGTTGGAACAATCTGTATGTTGCCTGAAAAGGTCCTTAAATGCAGACTCCACACATGCCATGAAATTTCACATATGCAATTCATCAATGGGGACAAAAAGTGTAAAGTATTACATAAAGCAGCCAGTTAAGAAACAATGTGATTCCTTTTCAGGAACAAATACAAGAAAGTATTGTGTCCTAAACAGTACTCAATTACTACTACCAAACATCTGTTTGATAGAGAGACCAGTTCATATTAGTATTTCAGTTCTACAAATTTGCTGTGAACTACTTGTCCCACAGACCTTCATTCTGATTACCACTTCTCACACTCTATATAACCATAATACTCACAGAATTTCATGTAATAAAGTGGACATAATAATGCCAAATATGTTTAAAAGCAGAGATCGTAAACCATGAAACATTTCTTCATTTGACATGCAAGGAGACACAAAATTGAAAATATGCAGTGTTCATCACAATAAATAACTACTCGATCTGCTGCATGCAAATGTCTTCAATATACACTTTAATATTCAAATACGCAAAAACAAATACGAGGTAAATAAAAGTTCTAGCAAAAATTAATATGGTGTCACGATATACTTGTTTCCTTCTCACCCGCCAGTGTAAATTTTTCGCGTCAGTTTCCTGCGTTCTCTGTTGCTTCTTTCTGGATCAAAATTCTCCATAAATTTCATGTTGTCATTCTGGGTTAATTTCTTTAACGCTGTCGCTATTTTCTGAAAGAGAACGTAAACAACGAAATTATATAACACCATACAAGCTTACTGCCCTGAAGACCACTAAAATAATACAGTTTCCCACTTTCCTCACATTTATCGCACGTTCTTCAATCGGATTCCATATCCAATCGAAACCATGAGCAGACAACTGTTCACGCTACCTGCGATATTTGTTTTGTGCCCCCGACCACAGACGTAAATTCCCCTGTGTCAGTGCTGTAGTCACTGTTGTCGAATTTAGAGTTTGAGTTCGAACTGTCATCCGGATCAATAAATGATTCCATACCTGGCCACATTCAGTAATGCCATAGCGCCACACAACGAACACAAATCAAACACACACTAGAAATTTCCCTCCATATCAATAATTTCCCTCCAACTGAAATTTCAAGCTCTCGCGGCGGCAAACGCCAATTTCTTCTTTGGATTCTAAACTTTTTGCATCACTCAACATTATCTGATCACGCTAAACGCCCCCTCCTTGATTTGATGACCTAATAATTGCACAAATTATTTCTGTGGAATGGAAGTAATGACATAAACGAGATGAAACAATGTTAACTACGAACTGCATTTGACAACCTGCTTAGCATCTATGCCTTCCTTCAAATAGAAATAGCAGCACTTTTCTCTACTTTCCTGCCCCTTCCCCTGGTCTCGCCAAATATTCTTCTCAGCACCATGTCCTCCAAAATATCACAATCACCTACTTACGAGAGCAGCACACATACAAAAAAACAAAACAGTACATTATAATTATTCTTTGCTTGGTGGCAACCTTTAAACCTTTACTTAGAAACTTCAAAATATGTTTCCCAAACATATAAAATTCTTATATAAATGTAAAAGTACATATAAGACATAAACACATTTTGTTCTACACCCACAAAAAAATCTTATATTTTTTTCTTACTTTTATAAAATATCCATCACATCAGGAACAGACAATTTTATATTTATATTAAATCTTCAAAAACATTACAATGTCTACAGAGCATAATATTTTATTGTTCTAAATACAATTATACAGAGCCACACACTAGACATCGAGATACTTTCTTTACTTTGTGGAAACTCTCGTCCTCTTGTTCCACGAAAAGTTTATTCCATAGGACTTTGGCTTCATCGCCTTTTCCTTCTGCTTCTCCACAAACCATTTCCATCCATTCTTCTCACAGAAAGCAATGGCATCATCTTCGGTGTCAAATTCAACCTTTAAGTTGGAGAGAGGGTCACCCCTACAACAGAGATCAGGCGACATTACATCTCCACAAACAAAAGTGCCTGCCCTCTGCGTATTTATTACTGTCTGTCTGAGCAGAGAACCTTATGACCAAAATGCAGTCATATCCACAATGTGTGTTACATGTCCTGCCCATCCCATCCTCCTTGATTTAATCACCCTAATATCATCTGGCAACGACAGCAAATGATGAAGCTTCCCACTAATAACTTTCTCGAATCTCGCATTAGCAGAAAGAATGATACGTCTGCATGCTCAATGTTCAGACCAACTCTAGGGCCCTCTCAGCCTCCTACGCAATTGGTACTGGGGCTCTCTTCCTGAGGGGTAAAGCTGCTGCACAAAGTTGAAGGGCAAAAATTCAGAATCAGCGCAAGATGAGGTAAAGGTAAGTGCTTAGCTTCATGAGCCAGCCATTCGTAGCTAGAGAAAGAACCCCGGTACCTAATTAATGGACAGGAGCCTGGGTCCGAAGAAATATCTCTGCCCCTTGAAGAATAAAAACCCAGTCACACAACCTGCACCGAGTTACCCAGCTCCATAATTCAAGGACCCGTGTAATATGACAGATCACCTTGGACAAACAGAATGAGAACCATGTTCATGAAAGCAGAACCAAAACACTTACGTGGATGCCCAGCCCATGAGTGGGTTTTCCCAGCGTTCCCTGGTTTCAAACTCAATCTCCCACCGTTGGGTGTTGTCAGTAACGGATTGCATGGCATTCTTGCACGGTCTGTAGATTCTTACCAGGCGAGTCTTGATGTGTTCTTCAGGGACCCCAGTAATAGCAGAAATGTTCATCTGTGCAACCAGCATGTCAGCAGACAAAATAATACTTTTAAAATGCACTGATCACCCTGACAAAGGAGGCAGCAGTGACGTCTGAAGTGTTGGTAAAATTCTAGCAGACTATACAGTGCTACAACCCAGAAGACAGCCATCTTCATACTAACAACTTTAAAACCTCAAAACCTACTGAACAATTTAATGTTTAATTACTAACCTGTCACGGAGTTTTGATTTGTAAGAGAAATAAAAAACAGTTAAAGTTTCAAACAGGTTACATTTTGCTACATCAGTTTAGTTTATATTAGATTTCTGTGCTGTGAGCTAAATGTCACAAGTAACATGACATGATGGGGAATCACTTAAACCTTTTACATGCAAAAATGTATCTACATAGAGGAAAAAATTTTTAATTTTCCCAGTAAGATGTTGGTGAAAAGTAACTACAAGTCACTGCACAGGCAAAAAGGATAGTTCTATCTGTTCGCTACACAGTAAAGATATATCAAAAATGTTACTGGCAATGACTGCAAAACGCTCTTGTAACTTCCCACACTTTGGCTGATGAAAACATAAATTAGCAAAACAAACTCAAATGAAGAGAAATGAAAGATGAACCTTTATTTCATACCGGCTGATCCACAGTTATGTAGCCTTCAAGCTGCTTCTGATGAGACACTTCATCTGTCCTCATGAGCGCATACTTAGTTTCCACCTGGGTGGCCTCATTTACGTCCAGTGCCTTGTCGACATTGTCAGTGCGCTGCACGGCTGCGGTGTGCACTGCACAGCCATTCCTGGAAGGCAGCACACCTAACTCACAAACACCACAATTAACTGAGCCCCAGTCTACATAATAATGCAATAACATGTGCTTTCATAATGTCAAATAAAAAATATTTCTGCACAATAAACCGAAAGGTACTGAGTAACAACACAAAAAAAATATGTTTCCCAAACATATAAAATTCTTATATAAATGTAAAAGTACATATAAGACATAAACACATTTTGTTCTACACCCACAAAAAAATCTTATATTTTTTTCTTACTTTTATAAAATATCCATCACATCAGGAACAGACAATTTTATATTTATATTAAATCTTCAAAAACATTACAATGTCTACAGAGCATAATATTTTATTGTTCTAAATACAATTATACAGAGCCACACACTAGACATCGAGATACTTTCTTTACTTTGTGGAAACTCTCGTCCTCTTGTTCCACGAAAAGTTTATTCCATAGGACTTTGGCTTCATCGCCTTTTCCTTCTGCTTCTCCACAAACCATTTCCATCCATTCTTCTCACAGAAAGCAATGGCATCATCTTCGGTGTCAAATTCAACCTTTAAGTTGGAGAGAGGGTCACCCCTACAACAGAGATCAGGCGACATTACATCTCCACAAACAAAAGTGCCTGCCCTCTGCGTATTTATTACTGTCTGTCTGAGCAGAGAACCTTATGACCAAAATGCAGTCATATCCACAATGTGTGTTACATGTCCTGCCCATCCCATCCTCCTTGATTTAATCACCCTAATATCATCTGACAACGACAGCAAATGATGAAGCTTCCCACTAATAACTTTCTCGAATCTCGCATTAGCAGGAAGAATGATACGTCTGCATGCTCAATGTTCAGACCAACTCTAGGGCCCTCTCAGCCTCCTACGCAATTGGTACTGGGGCTCTCTTCCTGAGGGGTAAAGCTGCTGCACAAAGTTGAAGGGCAAAAATTCAGAATCAGCGCAAGATGAGGTAAAGGTAAGTGCTTAGCTTCATGAGCCAGCCATTCGTAGCTAGAGAAAGAACCCCGGTACCTAATTAATGGACAGGAGCCTGGGTCCGAAGAAATATCTCTGCCCCTTGAAGAATAAAAACCCAGTCACACAACCTGCACCTAGTTACCCAGCTCCATAATTCAAGGACTCGTGTAATATGACAGATCACCTTGGACAAACAGAATGAGAACCATGTTCACGAAAGCAGAACCAAAACACTTACGTGGATGCCCAGCCCATGAGTGGGTTTTCCCAGCGTTCCCTGGTTTCAAACTCAATCTCCCACCGTTGGGTGTTGTCAGTAACGGATTGCATGGCATTCTTGCACGGTCTGTAGATTCTTACCAGGCGAGTCTTGATGTGTTCTTCAGGGACCCCAGTAATAGCAGAAATGTTCATCTGTGCAACCAGCATGTCAGCAGACAAAATAATACTTTTAAAATGCACTGATCACCCTGACAAAGGAGGCAGCAGTGACGTCTGAAGTGTTGGTAAAATTCTAGCAGACTATACAGTGCTACAACCCAGAAGACAGCCATCTTCATATTAACAACTTTAAAACCTCAAAACCTACTGAACAATTTAATGTTTAATTACTAACCTGTCACGGAGTTTTGATTTGTAAGAGAAATAAAAAACAGTTAAAGTTTCAAACAGGTTACATTTTGCTACATCAGTTTAGTTTATATTAGATTTCTGTGCTGTGAGCTAAATGTCACAAGTAACATGACATGATGGGGAATCACTTAAACCTTTTACATGCAAAAATGTATCTACATAGAGGAAAAAATTTTTAATTTTCCCAGTAAGATGTTGGTGAAAAGTAACTACAAGTCACTGCACAGGCAAAAAGGATAGTTCTATCTGTTCGCTACACAGTAAAGATATATCAAAAATGTTACTGGCAATGACTGCAAAACGCTCTTGTAACTTCCCACACTTTGGCTGATGAAAACATGAATTAGCAAAACAAACTCAAATGAAGAGAAATGAAAGATGAACCTTTATTTCATAGCGGCTGATCCACAGTTATGTAGCCTTCAAGCTGCTTCTGATGAGACACTTCATCTGTCCTCATGAGCGCATACTTAGTTTCCACCTGGGTGGCCTCATTTACGTCCAGTGCCTTGTCGACATTGTCAGTGTGCTGCACGGCTGCGGTGTGCACTACACAGCCATTCCTCGATGGTAGCACACCTAACTCACAAACACCACAATTAACTGAGTCCCAGTCTACTTAATAATGAAATAACATGTGCTTTCATAATGTCAAATAAAAAATATTTCTGAATCTTCATACTCACCGCTGTGAGAACCTCAAGTCTTACAAGAATTCATTGTTTGGAGTGAATGTTGGAAGATATAGTTCTTGAGAAGTATACAAAATAGGGATCAATGAAATAACTTCCATTTACAAAATCCATTTGGAGGAAATAAATATGACTTGTATCAGAGTTACCAATATCAGTTTCATTTACTGTACCATTGTATCGCTGTTCTCGTTTTTATACCACTAATTACACTCCTAACGAATACTTGTGACGCCATCTTCCTCCTAGACAGGTTTGCCAATACTATTCGCTAAATACTCAACATGAAGGGGTAATTTTTTACCCACGTCGACTCCTGTGTGCATACAATGCACCTGTTATGTTTCATCCTGAAAATTATGTACTATTATTTTATTCCATTAGAAAAACATTAAACCTTTATTCCGACCAGATTTACAGATTGTAGTATAACAGCACAAAATCAATATTTACAAATGCAGAGACAGAGTATTAAAATTAATCACAAATAAAACAATGATATTATAGTCTTTCATTACCGGCAAACGGTCTGTCACTGAAAAAGAATGAACATGATGCCTGCATTATATATACCAAATGAAGAAACGTATTTCATACGCCTGCGTAAGAAAGTTGAAATTGTGGGTATATTTATTTTTGTGTGTTCGCTTATAGCTCGGAAACCGATACACCGATTGTTACCAAACTTCGCAAAGACTAGAAAGAGAACACAAGAAAGTCAAAACTCCAGCAAAGTGTCGTTTATTTCGATTACAGGTGAGGGTGTTTCTTGCAGCTCGGAAACTAAGCACGATAAAAGAACTTCGCTGGACGAAATTTATTTGCCTCGAAAATAAGGTTACAAAAACGAAGATCAGGGGCCCTAGAGTTGGGTTTCCGATGAACATGGTTTTTGTAGCTCGAAAACTAAGCACCATAGTAGAATATTATTCGCTTGGAGAGGGTAGATGACGATCTGGCCTGTGTCACGCTTTCAGGCATGGAACATTGACAATGAAAATGTTCACATTTCGCGAATCTTTCAGCAGCAACACGTAAGGAGCCACGCTGAGATCCGTTGCTATGCGACCGCGAGTAACTGCAAAATCGGCCGACGGGGGGCAGGCGCTTCGTGTCACTTCAGTCGTGTGTTGCGGTCCGCAGCCAGCCGCTGTGGTGGGAGATATGGGTCTTCAGGTACGTGACGTCAGGGTAGCATTGGGTGTGTCTGATTTGCCTCGAGGGCTGGTGTAATGTGTATTGGAGCATTGACACAGGGAACAGCAAATTTGGAAATACGGCGTAATGTAGAAAGAACAGAAATCGTAAAGGATGCAAAGCAGAAATTTATTGACGAGGACTATCTAAGTACCAAAAACACCCGTTTTTAGTGTCGTCCGTCTGTCTGTCTGTACGCATGGAAGGACTACGCTCTTGTGAAAGATGTCTTTTGGAAATGTTGGCGGCCCTCACTAAGATAAAGGGGTGAATAGTGTCAGTACAGATGAAGATGAAAACGTCTTAAGAAGAAGTTAAATTCGTCTGACTCATGATAGGGACCAGTGGACTCTTGTGAACAAGGCTATGAAATTTCGGGGAATTTATTTACCAGCTGAGCAATTTTCAGGTTCCAAAGGACTGTGTTTAGTGGATTTGGTACGATGGGTCTACGTGTTTTTCGTTCACCGTCGTCATCTTCGAGTACAGTATCAGAAGAGTGGTTTATGGTACATGCACGAGTGTCTGAGATAATTTCTTTTCTCTCTCTCCCTCCCACCAAATTTTCAAGAACCAAGGTCTGAAAAATCTCAAAATTGTCCGAACTGAATCCAGGTAGGAGAGTTAGTTTACTGACTGAGCTCTTTCCGCTTTAAATTACTGTATACTTTTCAAAAACTGTCTTTCATTAGAGTACTGTCTTCCAGAAAACCGAAAGTGGTTATAATAGATCGCCCTGGTGTATCCAGTTCACAGACCAAAACGCCCACCCCTCAAACATCCTCATTAAGTGACGTAATTGTGCTGCAGGTCATGTGGTTGATACTGGTACTGATCCTGCAGTCGGAGTCCCGAGTTATTGTCAAGAGGAGCTTCAAGGACCAGTCCGTCAAAAGCTACCTGACAGAGGTACTTCGCCACTTCATTTCCTACTCATTCCGGGTTCGTAAAGTCGGCGTCACTTGTCTTGGCGTCTTACAGAAGGGGGAGCTCTCATTCCGGGTTCGTAAAGTCGGCGTCTTACAGAAGGGGGAGCCGGGAGCGAGGTTAGCATGACACGCTCTGCGCATGCTTCGCTCAGTACTACCGTCCAAAATAACATTCCTCCCTCGTACGCGCGGTAAGGACTTCCACATAACCTCTCCAGGACTTCTCCGGTACTACTCAAGGACTTTTCCAGGTTTTTTAGAAAACGTTTCCATGAATTCTCCAGCACTTCTCCAGGGACATCCCCACGACCGCCCCATAAACAGGCTAGAAATTCTCTAGGACACAATATAACCCACCGTAAAACAACACAACTTTATCTAACCTAACCTAACCTAAACAACCTACTCTAACCTAACCTAAAGTAACCTAACCTAACCTAACCTAACACCGCAGCGCAGGAAGTTATTTGATCGGCGACGTCCCGTTCCATGAACCGCGCTGTAACTTGCCGAATGCAGACGCCAAGAAAACTAAAGCTTTTTTAATGCGTGTGACCAAGTGAATTCCATGCATCTTGATTAAATCGATAGCTTCCTCAATGTCAGTTCTTTCAATCTGACGATACCGTGAGCGTTAAACACGAGTCCTGCGAGCAGGAATAAACCGAGGATCGGATTCTCATAAAATCAAAAATGCCTTTCGCTTTAAGTGCGTACACCTGGGCACGAGGACGTCTAACAGCAAACCAGTGATGAGGTTTGAAGAACTGTGCCACGGTAACAGCGAATGCACAGTCCACCCTGGTCCCTGGAATGTCCTTATAATTTGTGTAACAACATTCAACAAGAATAGGTTTCATCTATAGGGGAGATAAGAAATAAATACCAAATTTTAGAGGGGAAATCTGAAAGAAATTAACCACACGATTACCGGGCGTAATCTAAACTTGAGGATAATACTAAAATGCAACTATTAAATAAAAAGGGTCCAATGGCGGACTCTGGGTTCTGTGAAAGACAGGGAATTTCATGGATCGATGAGCGACTATCAGGTTGTTTCGTTGGCAACAGGCCACTACGTTACAAGCAGTTTGCCTAACAAAATATGTTCAGCGTGTTTTGAACCAGGCTCTCTTCACACTCATTTAGGGAATTTTACGTCTCGTGTGTTGGCAGCGCACCCGCTGGTGGAACGAGATCTGTAAGGAGGAGTTCCAGACGCTGTTCCGCTGCAGGTGCCCCCAGTGGTCGTACTGCCGAAGCCCCGGCCGATACTACAATGCCTTCTGCACCATGACGGGCACAGGTTACATTTGGACGCAGCCCAACCGCAGCTGGGGAGATCCCGTATACAGCGACGTGACGTCACGCGTTGCCTAGCGACGCGACGTTTACATTTAATGGCTCTCTATTTGGTTGGGTTACAATTTCACTTTCCCGTGGCGCAATGCGTCATCATTAACGAGGCTCTGACAACCGAGACATGGCTGTATTAAGTAAAATTTGTATGTAGGGGAGTTTGGTTCTTGGGGCCCCGTTTGATTTTCGATGTTTAATGTTTTGCAGATGAGTGTATTTTAATCGACACCGATGGAAGTTCACAACAGCCTACATTTTCCTGTGATGAGAAATCTTGAGAAAGCGTTTCGGCCTGCCTCTGCTTGCGTCCAAGCGAACAAAGAACTTTTTTCTGCACACAGCAAAGAATTAGGTTATGACGTGCAACACGTGGTATTCTGCCAATGTTGTTCTTCTGGGTTGTGACTGCGCCATGGCTGAAGACGCAGGCAGGCAGCATGTTCTTCCGAAACGTCGGTCCTTCAAGTCCACGCAGCGCTACAACCCAGAAGACCAACGTATTTTTAACCTGGTACCTCTTAGGACAGCGTCAAGAGCAGAAATTGTCAAAGTCACTTTGACTTCGCGAAAGCTGTTATGAACAATAAGATATTATTCCGATATGTCAGGGCAGAAATTAGATTTACTTGGGCAATTCTCGCACCAGAAATTAATGTTTCGTTTTGAACTCTTGTGTGTGCCAGGTTAAAAAGGCTTTAATTGCTCGCATGTCGCATTACGGTAAACCGATGGTCTCCGCCATATAATTGCCCATCTTCCGCGGTTCATTTTAAAACTTCCCGAAGTGAAGGCGGACAATGTGAACGTCTTAACATTGGTCAAGGACACGTTTCTAGGTACTAATTTCAGAACACGTATTTGAATGCCAAAATGTAGCGTTTCTGATAACTCCGGCATAAACAACATTTGAGCCCCTTCGACTTCATCACACGTACCCACCATCAACATTATTCAAGTCTATAATTAAGTATCTCGCTGTGTTTTGTTTTTGTATTTCTGCAATGGGAGAACAACGAAAACCAGTAGAGTGTAACCAACACCAGCGAAAGTTTATCAAATAAATCGTTTGTTCAGTGCTGCCATCTCTGTTACTTATTTACGAACTAACTGCTCCTTTGTTCCATTCTTACAGTAGGTCACGGGGTTCGAAACAACTGAAGACGCTAGCCGCAACACGCACGCCGATTTATTGATCTGTGGTTCATTTAACGATGCTTTCAGATCCTCCCATCTACGTCTAGGTCTCCCCAGCGGTCTCTTCCCCTCAGGATTCCCAAACAAAACCCGGTGCACACCTCTTGTCCCATCCATGCGTGCTACATGCCCCGCCCATGCCAATAAAAACAGAGATTTGAAATAATTAAGGGTAGGAAGAGGGAATGAGACTATGTAATAAGCCATTCCGTGTCGAATATCTTCTTATTTGACCACAGTCGGAGACACGCAGCCATTTTCCTTCTTATTTATTTTTCATCGCGTTTTGCGATCGAGGGGGGAGATCAATAATTTCGCACGTACAAAGAAGCTAATTTGTTTATTGCAAACAAAATGTCTGGCCATGCCGGTAACCCAGCAGACCCCACGGAGAACTGGGTTAGTACGACCAAGTTCACCTGGAGCGCCATCTGAGCGCGTCGTATTGATCCGGCGTCGCTGTGACGTCACGGTGTCCGGTCAAAATGGCGATGTTATGGCTGATGCTAGTGGGCCTTTCGGTCGTCTGTCAGGGTCACCCTGGCATCCAGATACAGGACCTCGACGACGAATTGTACACGGAGGTGCGGGACCTTCTCAACAAACATGCGACACACCGCGTGAGTACACACAGTGGTTGCGGTGGGAGAAATACATTGTTAGTGGCGTAGGGTGTAGCGTGCCTAAACAGGCCTTTTACATTTCACGGCACAGCTTCCTACAGCGAACAATTCTATATCAACAATTACGCTAACAATGGGAGCAAATAAGCAGTGTTTTACAATAGAACTTTGCAGACTTCGTGTTGAGTCTATCGAACACAAAATGGACGATGTTTGTGTGCTGTCGTTTATTTACGATTAATATTAGGTTAGGTGATAGAGACACAAACTCCTGCATACATAAAAGCAAAGTGGTAACTATATGTACCACCTACTTTATTAACAAATAATTCTTCATTTTGCCCACAGAGTGTGTTCATGGGTTTCGTATATGATTCTCAGAATAAACAGCGATTATTTCCTTAAACAGCGTTAATCAGTTGATCTTTGTAATGGTGAAGGGTTGTGTTTTCTTCGCGGTACGGGCTGAATTCTTAAATATTATTTAGACACACACACAGTGGCAAATCAGCTGTAGACAACGCAACTGAAGCTGTTTGGACGAGACCAGACATGTAAACAGCACATTCAAGATATCAGTCCACGTAGATAATTCGACAAGATGTGGGAAATGTATATATCAGTCCACGTAGATAATTCGACAAGAAGTGGGAAATGTATCCGATATATAAACTGTAATTGATCTTGTTTATTCGAAAATTTTGTAAAGTCGAAACACATGGCAGAAACAACCTAGAAGCTGGCATCTAATTCCAACAATTTGTTCAAACTCACAATTCAGCAATCTTGAAACTGTTTCAGGCGCCTGCCAACGCCCTCAGCCGTCCGAAGGAGGTGGTGGGTTGGCCCCGGCCACTGCCGCACCTGGGTCAGGTGACTGGGGTGGCTGTGAACTCGCGCGGACAGCCAGTCATCTTCCACAGGGGGCCGAGGGTCTGGGACACGAGGTACGGAGCCTCACGTGCTGGACTGACTTTCATTAAATTTGGCATCGGGCAGTTTTAAAACCGGATAAAAATAATGAGGACTTCGGTGGACATTCGCTGACTCTGTGGGGAATCCCCAGTCAGCGGCTCACGCATTAACGCACGAGGCTGTCACTTTGGTTCGCTTCTTGTAACAGAGCAATCACTCGGCGAAAGTCCTTTTCAATATGGCACTCACATCTTCCTACTGCTCGCTGAATTTCTCAACTTTCTTCGTCTTTACGCGCTGAATCTTTCACCCATTGTCACCCGTCCTCCTCATTCTACACACGCAACCAACCTCCGTTTCGCTTCTTGGCAGCAGTTTCATGCATAAAGCGATCGGCGTCTCTGTTGCAGCTGTTTCAACGCGAGCCACCACTTCCAGCACGTGGCTGAGGGTCCGATCGCTGTGTCGACTGTTCTGACCCTTGAACCAGAGACAGGCGCAGTCATCGGCGACTGGGGACGCAATCTCTTCTACATGCCGCACGGAATAACGCTGAACGCCGAGGACAACGTCTGGCTGACGGATGTGGCGCTCCACCAGGTGTTCAAGGTTCGTGCTGCCGTCTCAGCTACTGAGAGCCCCGTTAAATAAGCCGTAAATGACAAACCTCGTGTCTCCGGATAAGATATGTCCCACCCCCAAAACGTGACCCGCTCTGCAGTTCTTCTGTTCCGTTCCGTTGCAGTTCCGACCCGGAGAGACGTTCCCTGCCCTGACTCTGGGGGAGCCGTTCAGCCCTGGTGACGGTCCCACGCGCCTCTGCCAGCCCACGGCGGTGGCCGTCGCCAGTTCCGGACAGGCGTTCGTGGCCGACGGCAACTGTAACCACAGGGTGCTGATGCTGAGCCCCCGAGGTCGGCTGATACGACTCATTCCACTGCCGTCAGGTGGGGTTGGCGTACAGTATTTAAATGTGCAATGCAACGAGCAGTATCTTTTTACGAAACTATAAAATCATTTGGAACTCAAAGTTGTCAGAATCTTCCTCATTAACACAAACAGATGACAATGACGTTTGTGTCTCGGCTCTGAACATGGTCGCAGGCTTACATTTTGTCCAAAAACTTTTGCTCGTCGCCCGGAGTGCTACACAATTCGGTGGGCGGACGCCGCGTGCTACACGATCGGGGACCCTCTGTTGCAGAATTCCTGTCCCTGCAAGTACCACACGGCCTGGCTCTGATCGAGGCCCTGGACCTGCTTTGCATTGCGGATCGTGAGAACATGCGAGTCGCCTGTCCTCGAGCTGGCCTCGTGCCCTACATGAGCGCTCAGCCCGTCAGCATCCAGGCTGCAGACCTGGGGAGAGTTTTCGGGGTCGTGGCTGTAGGTAGGTTGTTTCGCCCCATCACATGCGCAACATACGTGTTCCCTTTGCGGTACGGACTGGATTTTTAAATGCCAACGTCCCCTTAAAAGGGTTAACTCTTCTGCAGGGGGCTTGGTGTACGCCGTAAACGGACCGACGTCCCTTCAGATCCCGGTGAGAGGGTTCACGCTGGACCCGCGCTCCGAGACTGCGATAGATCGATGGGGACCGTCCGCGGTAAGTATCGGAACCACACGATGTTAATGTTTAACCTCCCCCCCCCCGGGCTTCGAAGCCTCGTCTCCTGCCATCTGTTCCTGAATTGGCACGAGTGGGCACTGATACTTCAGCAATAAACCATTTAAAGATACCCGAAAAATTTGTTTGCCTCATTACGTTGGTGTAAACCATGGTGGTCTAGCGGTTAGAACGCTGGCTTTGTAATCCTGGGGTCTCCGGTTCGATTGCCGGCGGTGCCCGAATTTATAACTTGTATTGGGCAAGGCCGTTGCCTAGGCATCACGGAGTTTTCCTCCGTGGCATCCCAACAATTACACCATTCACACACAGAAGAAGGCAATGGCAAACCACTTCTGGATCATCTGCCAAGAACGTATATGAACAGGTCCCAGTCCGAGAAAAGGATGGAAGGATCCTGTTCATATGGACCTGTCGTCAGACAGAACACTAAATAAATAAATAAGGTTGGTGTTAAGGAGCTCAGTAACTCGTTTGCTGCAGGCCTTGTGTGGCCTATCAATTATCTCAATAAACTCAGAACCTGCCAGCAAATAAAGACCGGTATGGACTTTTTCAGGGTTTCCGAAGTCCACACGGCATCGCGATCAGCCCCAATGGGACGGCGATGTACGTCACAGAGATCGGCCCCAACAAAGTGTGGAAGTTCTCTCTTGCCGGTGGCGGCGTACAGTAACAACAGCGAAGGCCACCTCGGTATCCGGACCTCGGATTCTGAAAAAAAGTTGACGGCATCCCAACATAAAAAGATAGCCCAGATATTTCGGGTCGCATTCAGAATCGCTTAGATCTCAGCAATCTAAAACTTTGGGCAACGCGTGGGAAGGCAGCCATTATTTCTCGCTGCGTGACTGTCAACTTTTCTCCGCTTGTAGATCCTCGTATTTATGTATCACCACAATTGTGAAAGGACCCGCTGGGTCAAATGCTAACCTAACCTAACCTAACCTTCCGCTTCGGCGATAATTACCGATTTGTTAGCAATGCGTGGCCCGCGAACCTCTTTAAATTCAGAATAAGTGTCACGATAAAGCAGTCACTTTGCTTTCCGGAGGTCCCGGGTTCAAATCTCGGCCTAGAACACCGAATATTCTGATCTGTCTTGGAGTTTACAGCTCTTCCTACAGATGAATGCCGGGGCGTAGCCTCACAACATTCCGCGGAAACTTAGAATCACAGTCTTTCCGAAATCATAATGAACAAATTAATTTACCACTCGGAAAATTCGGTATCGATAAGATCAATCGATAGTGTTCGGACATCACCGCGCGTACCGACGAGGTATCACGGGCAATGTTTTGCACATCTTTTTGCTGGACCGCACGCTCTAAATCCCAAGGAGAGCGATGCCTCTGTCCTTCTTTTACCGAAGGGGTCCGCGGGCCAGTAGTTGTGAACCAGCAACGAAAAAATAAACATATTTTAGTGATCACTTTGGCCCGCTGCTTGTTGTCAACCCGTCTGTGAATCCAGTCCCTAATACGATTAAGAACATCAACACAAACAGAAGTTCAATTCGCCTGTTCCTTCCTGTCCCGTTCTTAAAGACGCGCATAATTTCTGTCACTGTGAGGTGCCGAGTCTCACGTCCACACAAAACAAGAAGTGAAACTGTTTTTGGTTACGCACGAGGACAAAGAGTTCTGAAACGGACTCCGAAATGATTCTCCTCGAATTCTTTTCCGATGCAAATTCCCAAAGACGCGTGATCTTGGTCACATTTTCGACCGGTGACGAGACACGAGGACGAACTTGGGTTCTGTCGTCACTTAGGAATTAGCAGATCTCATTTGTGGCCCAAGAGTTCAGCAGAGGGAGAATAATAATGAGAAAGTTGTTTGTGCCTGCAGCAAATGCAAATTGGGTTCCCCCTTTTCGTTCGAACGGCGTGACGCCGAGATGAAACCAGTTGCAGAACTTCACACCCTCGGCAGGACAGCAGAGGCTGCTTACTGGAGGGGGGAGTTCCTAGGGGACAACAGTTACCCTCCCCCCCGGCCCAGGCCAGAAGACCAAGCAAACAACAACTTAAGGCCGCTCGTCCCTCGAATGGAACAAATCGCGCGCGAAGGCGTTTATGAAGACAGGAGACGTTTCGGAACACGAAAAAAGTAGCCTTCAGAGTGAAATTAAATTTTCGGTTGGACGGGTAGCGTTTGGAAATCTGACGGTCGCTCAGCTGGTTAAGATATTCCCCGCCTTCTCTGGAACTAGAAGAGCCCGAAATTGGTGTGACCTGAACCCCGTCAACACCTCCCTCCCGCCTCGTTTCCCTTTATATCCTTTTTAATATTATCTTCATGTAGAATGGTCGGTTCCCTTCGGGTTTCTGCGATCTGAGCTGTGTCCAAGTCCGTGCTACATGCCCGGCCTCCCATATCATCCACGGTGAAGAATACACAAGTTACGAAGCTCGTCATGAACTTCGTAATTTTAATAAAACTTCTCAGTCCCAGCCAATCGATGGGGTTCTGCCTCAGTGGCGCCCGGAAAACAAAGGAGGTCACCAGACAAAAGCATTCGCTCGCCACTAACGGCGCCAGATTCGAACACGGGGCCGTCGAATAAAACCCGCAAGCAGTCGGTTAAGGAGCGGCCTTAATGCGTTCGCTTGCACTCATTTGTCGCGCAGAATGAGAGCGAGACTTGGCAACAACGCGGCAACTTTCTTTTTGGGGCGATAAAAACAGGCAAGGGTACACAAAGAGGGGCCAGCAGTCGGTAAAATCCGTGAGTTGACATGTTCGAACCGCGTCTCTTTCGACACCATAGCCCATCGCAGTTTTTAACTATGTTTACCACATGTTTCTGGCCCCCCGTACAAGAGGATAGGATCTGCGATTATATCTAGTCACGTGACACAAGGTGACACCAGCTCCCTGTTTCGTTCCGAAAATATTCGGGTAAATCAGAGCGTGTTTTTCTCTCGTGTTCCTGTCCGGTGCGCACCAGAATAATCTTCTAAGAGGGGGCAAGGCTGCCGGAGCGCGAAGCTAAACCACACACACATCGAACACGTTAAGAATGGGAGGAGCTAGATCACCGTCGCATGCCAGGGCGGTGTCGTGCTTAATTAAGCAACGGCGACAACTCGGCGCCAGAAGCACAGGTGCTGGGAAAAAAAGTCGTGGCGTCCTCTCTACATCGAGGGTAGCAAGAAGCACCCCAGCGACCTCTGCAGTGCAGTGGCATTCCAAAGGCATTCTTTACTTGACTGTTCCCACCGAAGGGACATTTCCGGCATGCTTCGTATTCGGGAGGTGCTGGGTTCAAATGTTAACCCGGACATCGGCTATCCAAACTGAGGTGCTTCGTGGTTTTAATCAGTCCCACCACATAAAAATGCCCCTTCACGTCGTTTCCAACAAATCATTCGGCAAACATCCTAGCGCTCCACGCTTTTAACGCGAGCGACTAACTGCGTCGTTAAACAAGCCTCAAACAAAGAGAAATGCCATGCCAACCGCAACCCGCGTCAGACAGGACAACGAAGTTCCAGAAGGCAGCTCAGGAGCGAAGCTCCTTTCAGCAAGAAAGGCAACAGAGGAAGGCAGGGGACACTTTGACCAGCTGAGACACTATCAGCTTCTCAAGAACTCTCCTGCTTCGACTTTCTTGATCACTTGGTAGCAGATTCACAGAAATGTTAAAACGAAACTTATATTTTCCGCACCGGTAGTACTTGACACTCGATACATCTGATATTTTTGAAACTGGTAGTAGACCCATAAGAGGAGCCAGAAGGAACGAGCTATCTCGCAATAAAGACGTCGCTGTCAAGCAGTTTCTTTTTATGGCCGTTCAGATGGAGCCCTCAGCGAGACACAGCAATTCATCTGCTCGGACGAGTGGCGTCCCACACAACAAGGCTCCAGTGCACGGTTTTCAACCAGTGGTGCACGGTACGTTTTTTCTTTCAGCCGCCGTCAGAAATTCCAGCAAACGAGTGGAAAAAACCTGTCCGGGTGACAGAACGCGCAGTTCAATGCAATCAATGATTACACACTCCGAGCCAGTTCCAAAAACGAAATTCTCTCTGTAACTGGACCCGGTGGGAGGGGAGGGGTTCAACCCCACGCCTCAAACGATCCGCGGCCATCCCATCCCATCCCCCAAAATGTATCCGTCTTAATGTCGTCGTCCAGCTGCTTCTCGCCATTCCAGTGGAATATGTTCGGGGGACTTCGCCCACCAAAATTCCACAAGTATTTCTTGCCTTGTCACAGCCCCCTGGGTTTGAGACTCGCCTGTCGTCCGAACGGATATTTGTGTGGAGGTGGGGGGTCCCGTTTTCACCTCAGAATTATGGAGATTAAGCATCGGTGTTCTGTGTTATCGCAAACAATCTCCACAGCAGCACTGAACATCCACCAAATAACATATTCAGTATTAAAAAAATCAACGACGAAACAATCACCGTCCTGATGATAGAGGCATCACATACCACCGAAAAGTCGGTAAATTTCTACTAGACTACAGGGCGATGCAACCCAGAATACGACAGCCATCTTTGCAACAATCACGTGATCTAGAGCCAGTAATGTCGCATCCGAACTGCGGACCACATATTGAGGGTCCCTTCGGATTATGTTTCCAAATAGAAATTGAGGAATGAGGATAGGCAAAAGAAATAAGAAAACGAAACGTAAGTAAAATATATAATAACAATAATC